GTTTACAGCGCCTCCTGGGAAGTTTACAGCGCCTCCTGGGAAGTTTACAGCGCCTCCTGGGAAGTTTACAGCGCCTCCTGAGAATTTTTAACAGCTTCTCCTGGAAGTTTACAGCGTCCTCCTGGGAAGTTTACAAGATTATCAAGAGATACACAGGAAAGTTGACATTGGTTTGACTATGAACAACATTCTTCGTGATATTCGGCAAGAAACAGAACTTGTTATTAAAGAACATGTAGTAACATGTTTTGTTACTTCCCTGTGTTGACTTAGTTATTAATATTTTTAAACTAAGTAGAAACACTAGCAGTTGATGCTAGTTGTTAGATTAACAAAAATAAACAACACTAGCAGATGATGCTAGTGTTAGATTAAACAAAAATCTCTTTTCTTAATTGTTCCTGTTACTTTAATTCTTCCTGTTACTTTTAATTCTTCCTGTAACTTTTAATTCTTCCTGTTTCTTTTAATTCTTCCTGTTACGTTTTAATTCTTCCTGTTACTTTTAATTCTTCCTGTTACTTTTAATTCTTCCTGTTACTTTTAATTCTTCCTGTTACTTTAATTCTTCCTGTTACTTTTAATTCTTCCTGTTACTTTTAATTCTTCCTGTTACTTTTAATTCTTCCTGTTACTTTTAATTCTTCCTGTTACTTTTAATTCTTCCTGTTACTTTTAATTCTTCCTGTTACTTTTAATTCTTCCTGTTACTTTTAATTCTTCCTGTTACTTTTAATTCTTCCTGTTACTTTTAATTCTTCCTGTTACTTTTAATTCTTCCTGTTACTTTTAATTCTTCCTGTTACTTTTAATTGTTCCTGTTACTTTTAATTCTTCCTGTTACTTTTAATTCTTCCTGTTACTTTTAATTCTTCCTGTTACTTTTAATTTTCCTGTTACTTTTAATTTTCCTGTTACTTTTAATTCTTCCTGTTACTTTTTATTCTTCCCGTTACTTTTAATTTTTCCTGTTACTTTAATTCTTCCTGTTACTTTTAATTCTTCCCGTTACTTTTAATTCTTCCTGTTACTTTAATTCTTCCTGTTACTTTTAATTCTTCCTGTTACTTTTAATTCTTCCTGTTACTTTTAATTCTTCCTGTTACTTTTAATTCTTCCTGTTACTTTTAATTCTTCCTGTTACTTTTCTTCTAATTAACTTTATTATTGATCTCCAGGTTTATAAAAGAGATTATTAAACGGTTTAGTTTCTCACTGTACCACTTGTTAGGTTTAGTTTCTCACTGTACCACTTGTTAGGTTTAGTTTCTCACTCTACCACTTGTTAGGTTTAGTTTCTCACTCTACCACTTGTTAGGTTTTAATTTCAATGAAAAAACTGAAAATGCAGATTGTTTATTGTCAGTTTTTCTGTTGACATCTCTTGTTTACTGTCATTCTTCTGCTTCCTTTCTAATTTTAACTTACTTATATATACCGTTGTAGTGACTTTCTTAATATATATATGTATATATATATATAATATATATATATATATATATATATATATATATATATATATATATATATATAATATATATATATATATATATATATATTGTAACCACGTACAACTGGTATTGATCAATAACACTGCGACCAGCCAAGGACTCGAACCCATGTTCGCCTCATGATGAGCGAAAATCACTGTGGTTAAGGCAGGTTGGGGTGGATATGTGGGATTTTCTCAAGGAATTTCAAGTAAGTGTTGTGAGCGTTGACAACAATGATTTGTGTAATAAGCTCTAGGGAGATTCCTAGATTTACTTTTAGATTTTACCACCGACGTAGCTAGTTTATTGTGCTCCCCATATCCACCCTGTGGACGGTAGTGGCTAGTTTATTGTGCTCCCCATATCCACCCCTGTGGACGGTAGTGGCTAGTTTATTGTGCTCCCCATATCCACCCTGTGGACGGTAGTGGCTAGTTTATTGTGCTCCCCATATCCACCCTGTGGACGGTAGTGGCTAGTTTATTGTGCTCCCCATATCCACCCTGTGGACGGTAGTGACTAGTTTATAGTGCTCCCCATATCCACCCTGTGGACGGTAGTGGCTAGTTTATTGTGCTCCCCATATCCACCCTGTGGATGGTAGTGGCTAGTTTATTGTGCTCCCCATATCCACCCTGTGGACGGTAGTGGCTAGTTTATTGTGCTCCCCATATCCACCCTGTGGACGGTAGTGGCTAGTTTATTGTGCTCCCCATATCCATCCTGTGGATGGTAGTGGCTAGTTTATTGTGCTCCCTATATGTACCCTGTGGACGGTAGTAGCTAGTTTATTGTGCTCCCCATATCCACCCTGTGGAAGGTAGTGGCTAGTTTATTGTGCTCCCCATATCCACCCTGTGGAAGGTAGTAGCTAGTTTATTGTGCTCCCCATATCCACCCTGTGGACGGTAGTGACTAGTTTATTGTGCTCCCCATATCCACCCTGTGGACGGTAGTGACTAGTTTATTGTGCTCCCCATATCCTCCCTGTGGATGGTAGCGCAAGAGCATGTGATACACAAAAGCTGTAGGGAGCATTGTAGAGTTCTAGAAGCAAAGTTAGGTTTTGTGAAGGATGTTCTAGCTCTTAGAGAGGAGAAACAGAAACTAAATTCTCATTTGGTAAAGAATGATGATTGATGCAATGAAGATTGTGAAGTGATTGATAGAAAGTAAAGAAAACAGTGTTGATGTAACGAATGTAAAACTGTCACCAAAAGTGGGAGGAGGAAATTATGGAAAGTTGAAGCAGAGTTAGAGAAGAGTAATGAATGTTGTTGATGACAAGAGTGAAGTTGTGGATAATGATGATTATAATAATGACAAGTGGCTAAATACCGAGCACATCTCCTGAGGCTCACATCACCCAGATAACTGCTGCAGCACATCAACCAGGTAACTGCTGCAGCACATCAACCAGATAACTGCTGCAGCACATCAACCAGGTAACTGCTGCAGCACATCAACCAGATAACTGCTGCAGCACATCAACCAGGTAACTGCTGCAGCACATCAACCAGGTAACTGCTGCAGCACATCAACCAGGTAACTGCTGCAGCACATCAACCAGATAACTGCTGCAGCACATCAACCAGGTAACTGCTGCAGCACATCAACCAGATAACTGCTGCAGCACATCAACCAGGTAACTGCTGCAGCACATCAACCAGGTAACTGCTGCAGCACATCAACCAGGTAACTGCTGTAGCACATCAACCAGATAAGTGCTGCAGCACATCAACCAGATAACTGCTGCAGCACATCAACCAGATAAGTGCTGCAGCACATCAACCAGATAAGTGCTGCAGCACATCAACCAGGTAACTGCTGTAGCACAACAACCAGATAACTGCTGCAGCACATCAACCAGATAACTGCTGCAGCACATCAACCAGATAAGTGCTGCAGCACATCAACCAGATAAGTGCTGCAGCACATCAACCAGGTAACTGCTGTAGCACAACAACCAGATAACTGCTGCAGCACATCAACCAGATAACTGCTGCAGCACATCAACCAGGTAACTGCTGCAGCACAACAACCAGGTAACTGCTGTAGCACAACAACCAGGTAACTGCTGCAGCACATCAACCAGGTAACTGCTGCAGCACATCAACCAGGTAACTGCTGCAGCACATCAACCAGGTAACTGCTGCAGCACATCAACCAGATAACTGCTGCAGCACATCAACCAGATAACTGCTGCAGCACAACAACCAGGTAACTGCTGCAGCACATCAACCAGGTAACTGCTGTAGCACAACAACCAGGTAACTGCTGCAGCACATCAACCAGGTAACTGCTGCAGCACATCAACCAGATAACTGCTGCAGCACAACAACCAGGTAACTGCTGCAGCACATCAACCAGGTAACTGCTGTAGCACAACAACCAGGTAACTGCTGCAGCACATCAACCAGGTAACTGCTGCAGCACATCAACCAGGTAACTGCTGTAGCACATCAACCAGATAACTGCTGCAGCACAACAACCAGATAACTGCTGCAGCACATCAACCAGATAACTGCTGTAGCACAACAACCAGGTAACTGCTGCAGCACATCAACCAGGTAACTGCTGCAGCACATCAACCAGGTAACTGCTGCAGCACACGGGCACCTGGCAAATGTACATTCCGATACCTCAGTAACTAATCGTTCAAGACACTGTACACTGTGTACGTCAGTCCCATACAGGAGTATGCAGCACCACTTTGGAACCCACACCTGGTCAAGCACGTCAAGAAATTAGAGAAAGTGCAAAGGTTTGCAACAAGACTAGTTCCAGAGGTAAGGGGAATGTTCTGCGAAGAAAGGTTGAGGGAAATTGGCCTGACGACACTAGAGGACAGGAGCGTTAGGGGAGACATGATAACGACATATAAAATACTGAGAGGAATTGTCTAGGTGGACAAAGATATGAAGTTCCAGAGACACAGCATCAAGGAGTCACAATTGGAAGTTGAAGACTCAGATGAGTCAAAGGGATGTTAGGAAGTATTTCTTCAGTTATATAGTTGTCAGGCCGTGGAACAGTCTAGCAAGTGATGTAGTGCAGGTTGGAACCATACATAGCTTTAAGACGAGGTATGATAAAGCTCATGGAGCAGGGAGAGAGAGGACTTAGTAGAAACCTGTGAAGAGGCAGGGCCAGGAGCTGTGACACGACCCCTGCAACCACAAATAGTTTAGTACACACACACACACACACACACACACACACACACACACGGACTCGACCCCCGCAACCTCAACTAGGTGGGTACACACACACACACACACACACACACACACACACACGCAAAGAATCTCTCACACGCACACGCAAGCGAACGCACACTATTCCATAAATAATTTACAACATTGGAGACATACTGGAAAACCGACATAACTGGCCGTGTATGAGGTATAGTAATGCCATAAGACTTTTTAAATTAAATCATTGAAGCACTGTAAATGGAGGTGATTAATTCAATATTTAATGCATGCTACGACTTTTTTTTTCAAGATTTTTACGGCTGGTGGAGAAGAAATTGGCCGCATCAGTTGCTGTGGTAAACACAGACTGGTGTTACCTGGTAACCTTCCAGTCCAGTCCAAGATCCTACTGTTGTTTCTTACTCTCAGTCTGGTGAGTTTCTCCGCTTTGATCAGTAATCATTATTATTACGTGGGAAATCACCAACCCATAGATGACACAGTGTCTGGGGATACAGAGGCAGTCATGTTTGATCCAAGGAAAGGGATTAAGCTACAGTTCCTGGAAGTGCACAAACAAGGTGTCTTCAATATTTATCTTTCTCATCCAGTGGGAAACACCACAATACAATTACTTAATTACTTTGCTTCCCAAGGCATACAAATGTAACTAAGTTATTTTACATTAAATAAATTTAGCGAGGTTAAGTTAGGCTGGTTAATCAATTTTGGCGCCAAATAAAGAATTAGCAAATATTTCTTGGTTTTCCTAGTGTGGGATTTAGAGTAACACAGGAAGGCAGACCAGACGAAGCTTCTCGTGTTCCATAAAACACAATACGTCTGATTTTTCTAGCTGTAAATAAAGACAGATTTACATCTCATTCTTACTGTCATAACTTTCAAATATATTTACATATTTTATGTCATGATAAAAGTTCCTTTTCAAAGGGTTGGGCAGTAAGCCAGCAGAAGGTCATTAACCATAACAACTTCTTAAGTCAATGTAATAAGGCCAGCCTTAGGAAAACTCTTCCTCTGAAGAATATTTCATCTATTGTATTGTCCCTCATATTACAACTCATTGTAAATTAAGTCATATTTTTTAATTAAAAAAAAGTTCTCTTAGATTACCTATATTTTAAATATTGCAAGAAAGGCTTAAAATCTCATATACAGTGGTCCCTCTTTGTTTGTAATTAATCCGTTCCTGGAGCCGTTACTATAAACGAAATTTACGATTTACGAATCAATTTTCCACATAAGAAATAATGTAAATACAATTAATCCGTTCCTGACACCCAGAAGTATTAAAAAAAAAATTTTAACATGAAATATACATGTAGTACATAAACAATACAATGGGAAAAGATGAATGAAACATTAACAGCATAACACTTACCTTTATTGGAGATTCTTCTTAGTGTATGGGAGACTGGAGGAGGAGAGAGAGTGGATTGATTTATAGTTTGGAAGGGAATCCCCTTCCATCAACACCTCAGGTACCATTTACTTTTCTGGGGTTGCTTCTCTTCTCTGTTTCTTAATGCCACTAGGACCACCTTGAGAGTCACTGGAGTCTTGTCTCACAAAATAACTGTGGAGAGAGAGCTCTGTTTTTAGCGTCTCTTTAACACTTCCCTAAAATGGCCCAAGACTTTGTCACTGTACTTGCTGCCAACCTGGCTTTCCAAAAAACCCTTTTTTGGGGTTATGTTTTCCAAAAAGTTTTCCCATCTTCCCCCACGGGATTAAAAAAAAAATCTCAAAAATTTTCCCTAAAAGGAAACCTTTTTCCCATCTCTCTTCCCCCTCCCCCAAGCAGATTCTGAGCGCGATGTTTGCTTTTCCCCTTGGGAACTCTTGTAGCTCCTCAGTGGGGCTCTCTTTGGGGTTTCTTCCCCCCAATTTTTAAATCCTCCAAACCCCACATCCCCCCCCCCCAGGGAAACCCCCCATGCAAAATTTTGATTTTCCCAACAGACATGGGGTCTTGGGGGTCAGCCCCAAATTTTTAAAAAACCCCTTTCTTTCGAACAATCGGGCCAAAAATTTTCCCAGGCAGAGTTCAAAGTCCTGGTAGCCCCCCCCCCAAACTCCCCCCCAAGCCCATACCTATAAGGGTTATGCGGGTGAAGGAGGGTTGAATGTTCTCTCCAAAAATTTCCCTTGGGGTAAAAGGAGGGGCTTGGTAAATTTCAAAAATTTGGGAAACATTGCTTTTTTTTTAAGTTTTTTAAAGTTTGCAATAACCTTTCCCAGGGGAATTTGGAGGAGAGGAGTGGTTTTTTCGGGGGCAAAAAATTTTTACTGGTTTAACCCAAACTCCTGGGAAAATTAGGTCTTTCCAAGTTTGGAGGATAGCATTGCTTTGTCCATTATTTAGAATTTGGAGTTTTAAATTTTTTTTTCCCCAGGAGAACCCCCTTCACACTGGGGCCCAAAACATTCTTTTAACCCCCCAAACAAAAAATTTTCCCTCGTGACCCTCCCTTTCATTTTTTTCCAAAACACCCCAATTTACTCTTCAAAAACAGGGTTTTTCCTGAACACTCGGGGGTTTTTTCAGGGGTTTACACTATTTTTAGGGGTTTTATTTTGGAAATTCCCCACAGAAATTTAGCACAAAAAACATTAGCCCAGCCGGGCTTTCACGGGCTTTTTTGTTTTGGGGCATTCCCTTTTTTCCTTTGTGAAATTGAAGGCCCCTTTTTGGGGAAATTTTTTTTCCAAAAAGGCCTGTTTCTTTCAAAAACAAACACTTGTTCGGGGTTTCAGTCCTTCACCTTTATGACTCCGGGGAATTCATGACAAAATTTTTCAGCCCCCCTTGTGGTCCGAACTGGCAGCCTAAACCATGCCTTACCACACTGTGTATCCCAAATTTGGGTTTTCTTAAAAATCTCTCAACCAGCCTTTCCCGGCCCCTTTAAATTTCACTCATTTCCCACCCTTTTTTGAAATTTTTTTCCCTTTACCAAATTTTTCACGCAAGTGCCTAGCCTTTTCACAAATAAACGAAGTCATAAGATATCTCCTGCTAATTGTTTCTCTTTTATCCACACCAATAATAACTTCTAACCTCTTCCAGTACTGGTGATCTCATTTTTCAGCATATTACTCCCCTTGTAACAACAGCATCCTTTATTTCATTTTTCTTGGCCACTATGGAACATAAGGGGTGTGTAGGGTTTTTTATACATCCTGGACAGTTTGGCCACACTTGTACCACTTCATATTGTTAAAAGATGGTTTCAAAAATTCAATCGGATTTCTCACCTTCTTTACCACAGGCTTGGCACTAGGCTTTCTTTGGAGCCATGGTAGCTTATTTAGTACTGTCAAGCACTAAAATAAATGAATATTATGAATATTTTGCGGAGCACATGAGGGACCTTCGCTCCACTGGTAAACAATGCCAGACTGGCTGCCGCCCTGGCTAAACGCCAGGGGTACCGTTCCCGACGAACTACGACCGCGAGTCAACCTAGAAAAGCGAGTCCATGTTTATACGAAAATACCCCTATGATTGGCGAATTTTACGATTCCAGGAACTACGAAAAGCGGGGGACCACTGTATTATTCTTTATGACATAAATTTGTTTCCCCATTTTAATTACTGTGTCAAAAATGAAGTTACAATAAGCTGGTAATTTTTCACAGCACATTACACTTATGCAGGGAAGAAAATATTTACATAGCCAATGAGCTTGCACCTTTTACAGCTGTATTACAGCCAACTACCCTGCTGCCCACTGGCTGTTGTCTGTTGTATTTTACTGATGATTTTACTACTGTGTCCGTGAAGTGATATTCTCGCTCCCACTTCCTCTTCCCTCACTCCTCCACACTCCACCCCCAACTATACATATTTCTTGCTCCCACTTCCTCTTCCTCACTCCTCCACACTCCACCCCCAACCATACATATTTCGCCTCCACTTCCCCTTCCCTCACTCCTCCATGCTCCCCCTTAACCAACATATTTCCCACTCCCCACTTCCTCTTCCCTCACTCCTCCACACTCCACCCCAACCATACATATTTCCTGCTCCCACTTCCTCTTCCCTCACTCCTCCACACTCCACACCCAACCATGCCCAATTTCCCGCTCCCACTTCCTCTTCCCCACATCCTCCACGCTCCACCCCAACCATACATATTTCCCACTCCCACTTCCTCTTCCCTCACTTTCCCCCACACTCCACCCCCAAACCATACATATTTCTCGCTCCCACTTCCTCTTCCCTCACTCCTCCCACACTCCACCCCCAACCATACATAAATGAGTTTACATACACTGTTATGCCCTGGAAAAAGGTTACAATGTATTGTTTAGATACGCTTAGAGAAAGTGATTCTCACTTAATATTATATCGCAAAGATCTTCATTAATAGCTAAAATGAAGATTTTCAGGTTTATATTATTATCAGTCACTACTTTTTCCATGGTACTACAATTATTATTATCATTATTATTATTATTATTATTATTATTATTATTATTATTATTATTATTATTATTATCATTATAAGAATTCTATAACGATTTTATTATGAGAACAAACCTGATGATAGGAAATCATGTCAAATACTGTTAATTGGTTTAAGCTCTAGCTTACGCGGGTTTGAGTCAGGTGATCCCACCTCATGTCAGGTTAACATATTACAAGAATCAAGTATCTGCTCCCTGGTCCAGCCCTGAGAACACAGAATTTGTCTCTCCTCTCTTTCCTTCGTTAAGTTTTGCAATTCTTAGAGAATAAGAGTTTCGGGTGATTAAGTTTACTCGGTGTATAGGTAAGAATTGAGTTATTCATAGTTATTGTTCAGCTGTGCAGTGACGGTCTTGTGTTAGGCGTACACAACGGGAAGTGGGGGTCTGTGTTAGGCGTACACAACAGGAAGTGAGGGTCTGTGTTAGGTGTACACAACAGGAAGTGAGGGTCTGTGTTAGGTGTACACAACAGGAAGTGAGGGTCTGTGTTAGGTGTACACAACAGGAAGTGAGGGTCTGTGTTAGGTGTACACAACAGGAAGTGAGGGTCTGTGTTAGGTGTACACAACAGGAAGTGAGGGTCTGTGTTAGGTGTACACAACAAGAAGTGAGGGTCTGTGTTAGGTGTACACAACAGGAAAGTGAGGGTCTGTGTTAGGTGTACACAACAGGAAGTGAGGGTCTGTGTTAGGTGTACACAACAGGAAGTGAGGGTCTGTGTTAGGTGTACACAACAGGAAGTGAGGGTCTGTGTTAGGTGTACACAACAGGAATGAGGGTCTGTGTTAGGTGTACACAACAAGAAGTGAGGGTCTGTGTTAGGTGTACACAACAGGAAGTGAGGGTCTGTGTTAGGTGTACACAACAGGAAGTGAGGGTCTGTGTTAGGTGTACACAACAGGAAGTGAGGGTCTGTGTTAGGTGTACACAACAAGA